TCGGACTCCATTATCCTCCTCCTCCTCCTCCTCCTCCTCCTCCTCCCCCTCCTCCCCGCCCTCCTCCTCCTCCCCTCCTCCCTCCTCCTCATCCTCCTCCTCCCTCCTCCTCCTCCCCCTCCTCCCCCTCCTCCTCCTCCTACTCCTCCTGCTCCTCCTCACGTACTTTTCCTCCTCGTCCTCCTCCTCCTCCTCCTCCTCCTCCTCCTCCTCTTCTCCTCCTCCTCCTCCTGCTCCTCCTCCTCCTCTCCTCCTCCTCCTCCTCCTCCTCCTCTTCCTCCTCCTCCTCCTCCTCCTCCTGCTGCTCCTCTTCCTTTTCCTCCTCCTCCTGCTCCTCCTCCTCCTGCTCCTCTTCCTCCTACTTTTCCTCCTCCTCCTCCTCCTGCTCCTCCTCCTCCTGCTCATCCAAGTTTTCGCGGGCATGAGAGAGCAAGAAGCGAGCATGCCTGGCAACCCATGCGGCCCTCCGGCATGTCGGCGATGCACCAATCAAGAGGCTCCTCTGGCGCCAGCAGAAGAACGAGGAGGAAGGGGACAGAGAAGGAGGACGGATCAGGACGATCAGGACGACGAAGCTCGGCCATCAAACTTACAGTGAGCGCGCAACCCAAACCCCCGACGTCGTGGATTCGTTCCACCGCGTCGACCCCCAGAGGTCTGGACCCTCTCCCCCGGGACCGGCTCTTCGTCCCGAGTCGTTCTTTGACGGCCCCGAGGCCCGGCAAGGGCCCCCGGGAGGCCGACAAGAGCGACACGAAAACCTCCCGTCTTGGTCTTTTCACGGCGCGGGGAGGTCTGGGAAGGTCGAGCCCGAAACCTGCGCCCTCCCCCCCCCCTGGCGCGAGGCCCCGGGAGCACCCGCCACCCAAGTCACGTCATGTCGCTTGAGCGACCGCCCCGGCATTCCTATAGGCCTACCACGAACATGTTCTCAGAACCAAAAAATGTTCCGAGAACCGAAACAATGTTCTTAGAACGTGAGCCCGAGGTGTGAAAACAAGACAGTCCCAGCCATCAATGTTCTAAGAGCGTTCCCCAATCAGAGCTTGCCTCTGTAGGGGTCCTAGCGGATTCATATGGTTAGGTTAGGTTTGCCACCGATTTTCGCTGCACGTCCGGGTGCCCAGATGCCCCGGGGTGCCCGGGGGTGAGGTTGACCGCCGATTTTCGCTGCGCCTGGGTGCCCGGGGAATGCCCAGGGGTGCCCGGGTGCCCGGGTGCCCGGGCGTGCCCGGGGGTGCCCTATGGCCCTATAGCCCTGTAGCCCAATAGCCCTACAACTCTATAGCCCTTAGCTCTATAGCCCTATAGCTCAATAGCCCTATAGCCCCCTAGCCCTATAGCCCTGATTGGGTTTTTTCTCCGGTATCCTGTCATGCAGGCCACAAGAGGTTCTTCGACCATTCTTTGGTGGACCTGTATCAGGCGTTAGCAGAACTGGGCTTAATGGGACCTGGTTTTTAGAGATGTGCACCGGGGGGCGCCTCCTCCCGCCCGTTCCACCAACCGGCATTGCCGCCGCCCGAAAAAACACCAGCTACGGCAAACCTGGTTTTTACTGGTTCTGGCCCATTGAGGGGCTCTGGGGCCCTATTACTGACCGGGTCCCCTTCCTTCCCTTTGAGGGATGAAAAAACGACCCTACCCTGAATTACAAGTGCGTGGTCTGTAAACCTCCTGGGAACCCCCAAAGCCTAGAGCCGCCAGGACGCGGCCCATCACCCAGGGTTGACCCCGTCAGCCCACAGGAGTTTCAGCGCACGGCGCCACGTAAACCAGGGCAGGGGCGTCTTTTATGCCCTTGACTCGGGGATGGACAGACCCCCCTTTAGCAAAACGTGGTTCAGTGAAAACGACCTGAGGCCCAAACCTGGCGGGCGCCAGCCTGGAAAATAACGGCCACGGCGCCATCTCGAGAACCGAAAACGGACAATTCACTAATCGGCGTGTCACTGTTGGGGGTTCTGTCCACCCCCGATATCGAATCGGCATGGGTCACAGGTTCGCCAGGTGCCTGCTTCAGGTTTCGATCGGTGCAGGAAGAACGGAAGGAAAAGGAGAAGGAGTGGGAGATGAGGGGCGCGGAGGAGCAGGAGGAGGAGGAGCAGGAGGAGGAGGAGGAGGAGAACCCAAAAACGGACAATTCACGAATCGCGAGCGAGGAGACTACACCCGACTGCAAGCGAGCCAGGACGCTTCGCCACGGCGCGCGCCTCGCGCGCCGCGGGCGCTGCCCTGACCCGGTGCGCGGCGCGCGGCCCCTCTCTTCGCGACCTCGCGCCGCCGCCCCCGAGAGGCGGGCGCGCACCTCTCCAGGCCCGAGCCTCGAGAAGGCGCGAGGAGCGCGGCCGCCTCCGCGCCCCCCGGGAGCGGCCCAGGCCACTGTCCTCCTCCTCCTGCTCCTGCTCCTCCGCGCCCCTCATCTCCCACTCCTTCTCCTTTTCCTTCCGTTCTTCCTGCACCGATCGAAACCTGAAGCAGGCACCTGGCGAACCTGTGACCCAAGCGGAGTCGATATCGGGGGTGGACAGAACCCCCAACAGTGACACGCCGATTAGTGAATTGTCCGTTTTCGGTTCTCGAGATGGCGCCGTGGCCGTTATTTTCCAGGCTGGCGCCCGCCAGGTTTGGGCCTCAGGTCGTTTTCACTGAACCACGTTTTGCTAAAGGGGGGTCTGTCCATCCCCGATTATGTCGGGCCTTTCCCCCTACAGGGGGATTTTCGACGAAAAATACGGAATGCCCCAAGAATAATAGAAGAATAGTCCAAAAACAGTCTGGGGACTATGCTTTGAATATTTTGTTGGCATTTTTGTCTGAGTATTTTGGGGGTATGGTTTATTTTTCGTCGAAAATCCCCCTGTAGGGGGACAGGCCGACATAAACCTAGCGGGGATGCGCAAGTTGGCGGGGAGCGAGGGGGGGGGGGGGAATGAGAGGGGGAAGACCTTCTCAGAAGGCCGCGGGACTTCTCAGAAGCCCTCGCGCCTCCCGAGAGGCCTGTGAGTGTCTTCTGGGAGCTGCTTTTCGTGGAAGAGGCTCGCCCTCGCCCCGCCGACCAGAAATTGTGTGCCTTCTGGGAAGGCTCAGAAGACTTCTCAGAAGGGTTCCGAGCCTTCCGAGAAGGGAAACTTCCGAGAAGGCTTAGAAGACTTCTCTTCTGGGAAACTTCCGAGCCTTCCGAGGAGGCTCGCCCCTCCTCACTTCCCCCCTGGGCGCGCCGCCATAGTAAGACTCGGGTTGGGGGGGACTCGGGTCGGCCCGGCGGGGCCATCCCATCCATGAGAACGACGAGACCCGATCTGAAATCTGACGCGAGCTCCCGCTGCCGTCAAAGTCAAATTCCAAAAAACCACGAACGACAAAGTCCAGAAAGCCGTCAAAGTCAAAGTCCAGAAAGTCAAGTCAAGTCAAAGTCGTGGGAGCTCCCGCTGACGCGAGCTCCCACGAGAACCAGACCGTCAAAGTCCGCGACGCGCTCGTCGAAAAACTTCGGCCAGACCGAGTTCCGGCTCACTCGAGTCGTGCGTTTCCGCGAACATGGCATGGGGGAAACGGGTCCCTGAGGGAAGCGGGTCCCAGACCGCAGGGCCTTCCCCCAGGACGCGCTCTTCATCCCGAGACGTTTTCGGGCAGTCCCAGGGCCCGTGGAGGGCCCCGAGAACCGGAAAAACGGCGAAAACCTTAGGACTCGTTTCCCTCAGGAACCGTTTCTAGAAGCCTCCTAGATGAGGTCGGAGTAGATGGGGCTGGGGGATGGCGCCGCATCGCCGATGCAGCGGCGATGCATCGGCGACGACGGCGATGCACCGGCGTCGTCGGCTCGTCGGCGTGGAGAAAGTCGGGCTCCACATCGAGCCGCGCTCCGACCCCATCGACTTCCCCTCAGGACCCGTTTTGAAGGGCAACGATAGAGGGGACTGGCAGGGGGGGACGCATCGACCTGGAAGCGGCGATTCATCGTCGACGGATCGGCGACAGGCCCCCGATAACGAAACCGCACTTTCCTGGGCGGGGCAGGGCAATCGGGCCCTCATCGGCGATCAATGGGCCATTGGGGTTCGATGCTAGGGCAACAAGAGTGGCATGAACATAAAAACTCGGAGGTCCGCGCGGATTTCTCGGATCCGCGCTGGACCCCCCTGGCGGCGCCTCCGGCGCCGCCCCTGGCGTGCCCCGCGCGCCAGGGAGGGGGGGCCAGCGCCGATCCGAGAAATCTGCGCGGACGTCCGACTCTTTATGTTCACGTCATTTTTCGCTCCCCTTGATGCATCCCCCCGACGCAGGGAGCCCACAAGAAGGACGTGGACGCCCAACCACGCACACGAATGCGGCCCCCGGTCCACGAGACCAGTCTCGTGGCACAAACATTCGCGCGGCGCGCACTTTCGAAGCCGACGTGGACTCGTGTCCTTGTGCTACGTCCTTCTCTCGCTCCCGACTGCAGTCGGACCTACAACCCTCGTCGAAATTGAACGCAAGTTTTTTCCACCCCCGTCGCCCCCAAATTTCAATGTTCATCGACAGGCGCATCGCGGCTGGCGGGGTCCGAAGAAAATCTCGAAGTCGCCGGCGTCGGCGTGAACATTGAAATTGGGGGTCGGGGGGCGCCGCCAGGTCGCGGCTAAAACTTGCTTCAATTTCGACGAGGGATGTAGGCCAGAAGAGCACCCCTCAAGAAGAGCACGAGACCCTCCGCCGGCCAAAACGCACAGAACATCCAAGGGCACAATCCTCAGGGTGCACAAGAACATCCAGCAAACACGAAGAACTGTGATCGGGGGCGCGCAAGCATGGATTAGCGATCCATGGATTTGGCGCGCACCTCCCTAAAATGCGGCCGGTGCCAACTCGTTCGGCGGCGGAAATCCGCGATTTCCCATGGAAACGGGACCCGTCGCTAATCCACGCCACCTTGATCCATGTTGGCGATCGCCTGCATCTCGTACCTCGGGCTGACTGTACGTCTATCGCCCCCCAGCGTTGCCCCTGAAGCCTCC